ATCTATCAATAATTGAAACGTGGAACATGTGAAGTGTGACTCTAGGAAGATTGGCTGTCAATCAAAAATGAAATAGAGCACATCAAGATCAATATCCTATGCATTACTGAGCTGATATGGACTGATACTGGCCATTGTGAATCAGACCATCATAGGGTTTAAAACTCTGTCAGAAATGACAAATTCAAAAGGAATAGCATCACATTTCTTGTCAAAAGGGACATTTCAAAATCTATCTCGAAGTACAGTGTGCTATGATAGGATCATCTCTATCTGCATACAAAGAAATCCAGTCAATACGATTAGTATTCAAATTTATACACCAACCACTAAAGCTAGGGATAAAAAAAACTGAAGCATTTTGCCAAAGTCTGGAATTGATCAAACACTAAATCAAGATGCACTGATAATTATTGGTGATTGGAATGCAAAAGTTGGAAACACAGAGGGAAGAATGGTAACTGGAAAATCTGCCCTTGGTGACAGACATGAAGCTGGAGGTCAGTGGTTTCCTCATCTAAAAGGCCTTGTTCAACACCTCACGTGGCAACTGTACACGTGGATTCTCCAGGTGGGGTCCACAGAAGTCAAATTGACTACATCTGTGGGAAGAGCTGATGGAGAAGCTCATTATCAGCAGCTAAAACCAGGCTAGATGCTGACTGCAGAACATATTATCAATTGCTCATATATAAGTTCAGGCTGAAGCTGAAGAAAATTAAAACAAGTCCACAAGAGCCAAAAATGTGGCCTTTTGTATATCGCGCCTGAATTTTGAGAACATCTCAAGAACAGATTTGACACATTGAGCGCTAATGACAAAAGACCTAATGAGCTGTGGGAAGACATCAAGAACGTCGTTCATGAAGACAGCCAAAGGTCATTAAAAAGACAGGAAAGAAAGGATCAAAGTGGCTGTCAGAAGATACTCTGAAACATTCTCTTAATTAAAGAGTAGCTAAGGAAATAGAAAAAAATGATGAAGCCAAAGAGCTGAACAGAAATTTTTAAAGGGCAGCTGGAGAAGACAAACATCATGAAATGTGCAAAGACCTAGGCTTAAAAAAACACCAAAGAAGAACATGCTCAGTGCATCTTAAACTGAAAGAACTGAAGAAAAACTCTAGTGTTGAGTTACAATATTGAAAGATTCTATGGGCAGGATATTGAACAATGCAAGAAGCATCAGGAGAAAATGGGAAGATGACCTAGAGTCACTGAACCAAAGCGAGCTAGTCGACATTCAGCCATTGCAAGAAGTAGTATATGAGCAATAACCAATAATACTGGATGAAGAAGTCCAAGCTGCCCTGAAGGCATTGACCCAAAACAAGGCTCCCGGAATCGATGGAATATCAATCGAAATGTTTCAACAAGCTGGTGAAGCACTGAAAGTACTCGCTCATCTATGCCAAGACATTTGGAAGACAGCTGTCTGGCCAACTGACTGGAAGA